TCTCAACATTAAGATGTAAATATCACCAGAAACAGACATAGAGAAGTTGTCCACCTCAAGAAAAAATTAATTAAAATTTTAAAAAAAATGAATTATAATAAAACTGTAATTATAATAATAAATTTATTATAATTATTAAAACAAACTGAATAGAGCTAAGTCTGGAAGATGAGACCCCTTTCGTTTCAACACGGAACTTGTACAGCCGTTATCATTTGTGCAAGGCCAGATATTTTATAAAAACTGAAGATGCAATAAACGTCTTAAAATTTAACATAAAGGTTTCGGCTCAACAGATATGATTTGAAATACAATTGATTCTTTTTAGTTCAAACTTTAAGATAGGTGCAAAAATATTCAATTCATTCTAAAATTTGAATAAGCAAGAAAAAATTTCTTTTTTTTTATATATGCTGTAAGAGCAAAAAAATACTTACCAATATTTCATGTTTTTTTTTAAAAATATAATACAATGGTAATGTAGGTTTAAAAATCCATCAAACGACACAAGAATTTGAGATTCTTTAGAGTTAAACTATAGTCATCCTATTTACTTGCACATTGGATAATCGAATAGAGGCTTTATAGTATCTAAACATACTTTATACGAATAAAATTTAACAGAATAAAAGTATTTTTGTATGAAACCAATGTTCAATTTCTTTATTTAAATTATTATTTATGGTTGTTTGTTAAGTGCATAAAGAAGAGGTAAAAAAATTAAGGAAAAATTTTTCTTAAGGAATGTAATAGAATATACAGAACCAGATAGAATGGAATTTCTGTCACTTCAATGGGACAAAAAATTGGTCACTTCAATGGGTCTTCCTGCACATTTTGAAACAAGTCAAAGGGTAATTTAAAAATAATTAAATCTAATTAGCAGTTGTATAGTAAACGAGGGGATTTTCATCCCTATTTGACACACTGAACTCCCTTATCGTTTGAAAAATATTTAGTTGACTATCCAAACAGTATTATTGTAACACTTCTGATTATTGATAAATTTTAAGATTGACTAATACACTAGGCTAATAATCAAATAACCCACTGACTGCACAAGTAAGACATTGAAACAAGTATTATAAATATTGAAGTAAGAGAAAGGTTGCATCTTATTTCAACTGCAACTAAAGCAGTCACTCACTACAAATAAACCAGCAACAAATGAAAAAAATTACTTGCACTGAATCGAAAAAATTATTTCATTTTATTTCAACCGCAACTAAAGGAGTCACTCACTACAAATAAACCAGCAACAAATGAAAAAAATTACTTGCACTGAATAGAAAAAATGATTTCAAAACTATTAATAGTGAATAATCAATCTATCTCTTTCGAATCTTTTACAATCTCTCTTTCAAAACTTGATTTTTTTTTTTACAGATTTCTTTAAAAAAGTGAAATACTATCAAACTTTAAGCAGTGTCGTTACAAGGAAAGAAATTATAAATGTGAATGACCAAACATTCAAAGTTATTAATGTTTGAACTAAAAGGAATCCACAGTATTAGAAACCCATAATAAAAATAAAATTTAAATATTTTCAATAGATAAGATAATATTTTAATACATTTTCATAGGTTAGAGTTATTATAACACATACATTAAAATGGAATCCTAAACTGACATATAGGTGGACTGAAAGTCTTGAGAAATCCAGTGGGGGAAAAAAACTTTAAAATACAACCCTGAATTAATATAAAACTCAATAGAGATTGTACACAGAGTCGCAAATAACACACAGTCCACTTTTGGAGTAAAACTTTTTTTCAATAAACATAATTTTTAACACAAAATGTGCTAGTACATAATTTAGCCACAACATATTACACTTATTTGCAAAAAATATTATTTGTACATACCATACACAACTAATTCCTTAAAACATTTTGAACTTCATTTGACTTAATATTTGGAATTTCTGACATGACAAAACCATTCACTTTTGAAGAGAATGATTGGTGTAAATATTAAAATGTATTAATTAGAAGCTTAAAATACTAAATTTTTATTTGATAAAGAAAATCATATTTTTTAAGTTCTGTTTTACATTTATTATCAAATAACTGCTGCCAAAACATAACACATTTGTTTAATATACATTGCTTACAAATTGAAAAAAAAATAAGTGTAACAATAAATTAAACAAATATTCAAATTCAAGGCTGAAAATTCTAGTGTACAAAATGAGGCATAAGGCTTAAATTTAGGTAAGCCTTGCTCTTTGGTATCTATCTAGTACTCACAAAATAAATTTTTAGCACCCCAAAAAAGAACACAATTTAAAAAGAAAAAAATAACAACACCACCAAGAAAAATTCTTTCATAAATACGTTTATTTTAAATTTTTTTTTTCTCCAGAAAATTTATTCATAAATTAATGTCAAGGAGAAATATATACAGCCCATACTGATTTAAGCTATAAAATTGACTAGAAAATGCATCGATATTCAGAACAATAAAAGTGAAGTCTTAATATGAGTTTGTAATCTATAATAATAAAATGAAAAGTCTGTCTGTCTAACCAGGTATTTATTTTATTAGGTCTTATATCTCATGAGCCATTTCTTCGATTATCCTGAAATCAGGACAGAGGCTGCAAGGGGCAATTTTCGCCCCCGATCGATTAGCCCTCGAGTTGAAATTTTCAATTAGTTCGTTTGTTAGAATCGTATGAAAAATAGAATTTTTCATTCACTTAGAACTCGCCATTGATGAATTTGAGACTGCAGATGATTTTCCTTCTTTTATAGAAAGTGTGAAAAAGAGTTTTTTTTTTTGGTCCCTCTAAAGGCATTAAGTACTGGAGAAAATCACCTGATTGTGGTAAATTTTGACTATCATGATTTGGCCTTGAGCAACAGCATCATGCCAAATGATTCTGTATACAGTTAATCTTTATTTTGGTAGGAAGAATTACTAAAAATGTGTATTGCCTAATCTAATCATGTATTGCCACCCGAAAGGACAAAACATCATACTTTAAAAAATTGAATAATTTAAGCTTTATTAATATTGTGTTAGTAAATGTGTTTCAGTTTTGAGCATGATGTCGTAGTATTTTTCTGTACTAATACATTAAATGCTTACTTTTCCCCACCCCGTACGGAGAATGGGTATTCAGCTATTATATGATAAAGCACAAATCTAAATTTGATTAAATACTTTTTAGCAGTACACTGGCGAGGTAGCCAAACAGTCAGAGTGATTGTGAAGCCAGAATGGTCAAGGGCTCATATATATCTCTCTGTGTGTTTGGCCTGTGAGATGTGAATGGTCCACCCTATGAACAAGTATCAGTAACGTATGTAATGTTGCTTGCCTCCATAACACCAGAGGCACCCACCTAGTAACATTATATGAGCAACACTTCCGGGGTCTTCCGTCGAGGAAGAACATACTAGTTCAGTACTAGCCATTAGAAGAAAAACACTTTTTTAATGTATTCAACGTAACAGTATGCTGTAACAGAAAAAAAAATTACTGCGAAATATTTTAAAAATATCATGATTGAGTTTTTCAGAAAATGGATATTTCATGAATCCAAATATAGTAAAAACCATACAAAAAGTTATAAGCTTGGTTCATCTTTCAATTTTAAACCAATTATAAAAATATTACTTTTATTCACAACAGGATCACGTCATTTATATAACGTTTAAAAATAAATAGATAAATTTCCTATGACAGCAAAATTATGCATTACTCATCAGCAAAAAAAAAAAAAAAAAAAAAAAAAAAAAAAAAAAAAANAAAAAAAAAAAAAGATAAACTCTTTAAATGAATGTTATTATAAAAAAAAAACAAGCTCACAGTTTCTTTCATCCTTATGATTTGTACAAACTTTATGGGGACATACCTATTAAATTTTCTTGATACTTAATAAACAGAAAATTTTCATGGGTAAATGAAAAATTTCATTTCATAATTACATAGAAATATTATGTAAAACAAGAGCTTATACTATGAAACCTCTCCTTACAAATACTTCTCCAAGACAAACACCTCACACTGAAAACTATCCAAATTTTATGAATAAAAAATTCATAAGTTATTATCAGGACACACTCCCACCTGGGCATAAGCAGAAATTCACATTAAAAAAAAGCCCTTTTAAATTCCTTCAAGACAGACATTTTACATTATTGTACATAGCATAAATTATTTTCTTGAATGCAGTAGGAAAAAGAGCAGATTGATTTTCCAGCAAAGGGGGGGGGGGGNGGGGGGAGAAGGAAGAAGGAAATTCCACAACTAAAATTTTTTATGGCTTTTAATTATTAATTACATTAGTGTAAATTCATTACTGTATGATAGTCCTTTTTCAATTTACCTTTTTCAATACCTTTTTCACAAGAGCTCAATGGGGTGGGAGGGTGGGACATGTAAGTATCACCACACACACATTCTTCAGAAATTTAGTTTAGTTTATGAATTGAATAAGTAATTCATTCACAGAATTTCATGCAATAGTTGGTTTAAAAAAGCCTGATAAGACATTTATATCCAAACCTCTCCAAAAATAATGAAACTGAAGTTAAAATATTATTTGAATTGAATATGCCTCACAAAAACCAGAAGATCAGATCTATAACAAACTTTTACCACCTTTTTTTTTTCTCAGTTGGATCAATGCAAATCATAGTATGTAAGCTATGGAAGTGGTACATATATTGTATTTTTTCACTGTTTTCTTTGAGTTTTAACTGTCAGGATTTTTTATTTTTAATTATGCCTTGATTAAACAATCATATTAATTTAATTTATACAGCATTATATTTTTTAATTAGTATATCCTTTCCCTGAGCAGATAATTTTCTTGTTCCAAAGATGTTCGCTTTACTAAGATTTCACAATACTATTTCTGGAGAATTAATGTTGTCAACTCTTAAGTCACATCCACTAGTGAATTAATAATCTGTATAATAAAAATAAGCTTGTGCTGTTATACAGCAAAATAAGATTTGCTTATTTTTGCCTTCATACTATATTGTTCATATATATATCGCCTTTATAACATTAAATCTGCCTTAATAATAAATAATGCCTTTCGTTTACATTATATAAAATTGTTCCTCTTTCTAAAAATCCCTTATGGTAATTTTAAGGAAGGTAACAATATTTATTATGAATTGTTCTTGATGACATTAGTAATTTTTTTTAAAAATTAAACACCTAATATTGAGTCTATAACTCAACAATAAAGAAAAAAATAGTGAAATTATAAATAAAATTTTTAATAAATTATTTAAGAGTAGCCTGAGACGAAGATGACAGTTCAGGTTCTGGGAGAGCCGTATTCTCTAAACTCTCTAAACGCTTTCTAAGTATATTGACACTGTGGTGTAAAGCATCCCTTTCATCTTGTAGAGTTCTTACGTGAGATTCCAATTTGCGAATGGTGCTTTGATACGTAGTTACAGATGCTTCTAGTTTGGTGACTGAATTCAAAGCAACCTAAAATAGAATGAATAATTTAGAAAAATAAAAAATAACGATAAAAAAAAAAAAAAAAAAAAATCAAAAATTTTAAATGCACTCAAAACAATATTTTAGTAGCGCTTTAGTCACAAGTATATTCATTTAATATATTCGCCTTTAGTCAGATTGAGTACGGCTAATATATAATTTATACTAATAATATTTCATGCTAAATGTTATTTTAAATTTCAAGGTAATAATTATGTTAGATACCAATGATTTTATTTATTTATTTTTTCCATTGATCTATTTATTTTCAGAAAAGTTAGACTGAAAACATCATTATGCTTATTCGCTAAAAAAAAGTGAAGAATTGCAAAGAAACTATTGGAAACACCATCAAGTTTTCTCATGGATTCTAAAATATTTTATTGTTTTAAATCCAGTAATCGCGATAGTGATTTGTATTGTCTCAGAATTTGATCTCACTTCAATTTTTTACTTATTTAAATATTAATCAGCAGCCCCTAATGAGTATAGATAATTAGGGAATACCACGTAAAATTGTCTAAAATTCCTAAAAAGCAATTCTTCCTCAAGGGTGTAAAAAAATATGGCACAATACAAAAATAATAATAATAACTTCAGAATTAAGCTAGAATGCTTGTTTCAGTAAAAATAGGACATATTGAATTACATATGCAAATACCTCAAGTAGATATCAGATTTTCAATACACAAAATATGCAGTTATTTAAGTCAGGTTTTTTGGAAAATAAACAAATCTACTGCTAAAAATTACCTGTAATTGATCAGAAAGCTCTGTATTTTGTTTCTGAAGATCTTTATTCTCAGTTTCAATTTGTTTTTTCATGGAAGACATAGGTTCTGATTCTGAATTCACTTCAGACATTTCTTCTTTCAACACCATGTATTCAATTTGATATGTTAATAACACTTTTTCAACATCCATAGATAAAACCTGGAGTTAAACAATTTTAGTGAAAAAAAAAGGAAGAGAATATTTGTAAAAAAATATTTACTAATGCAATGAATAAGTTCTAATGGATTTGTTACAGTGTGGTAAGAGAAGTAGGAGTTTTTATTATTAAGGAATAATGACATTTCAAGTTTAATTGCAAAATTTATTTAATTCCATATAAGTAAGCTTTCAATGCACCATTAATGCTTTAAAATTAAGTAAACAAAATAGAAATAATAATGACAAACATTTATAACCACATAAAAAGGTAGAGAATAAACTTTATGCAGAAGACAAAAAAAAGGCCAAATGATAAGCATCATTAATAATGTTTTCCTGTCATGCAATTTAAAAAAAAAAGTACTTTATGATAAATTTTCAGAAAAAACAGCTATAACTATTTTTTTTCCTTGCTAATATTAACAACGCTATAACAAAATCTAAAAAAAGAAAAAAAAAAGATTTTTATTTTGCTTCGATTTTTATTTTCTTTACTTTTGTGTGGGAAATCACTAAATAAATATCTAAAGATGTAATTTCTAAATTTGCGTAAACAAATAAATAATCTAAAATTGGCAAAATTTCAAACTTTGCAAAGGATATTCGCATTCTATTTTCTCTAAATAAAATAAAGTACAGAAAAATGTTTTTTAGCTTCTTATCCTCTTATGCATTATTTAATTACTATTTCAAAACATATAAGTAAATAGTAAGTTTCTTTTTTTTTATAATATACATTTTTTAGTTACTTTATACAATGTTAATATCTTGGCTTCATTTGATTTTTCTGCTTTCCTTAAATTTTTCGTTCCTCTCCTCTTACACATCTACTGTGCCAGCATTCAAAATTAATTTCGAAAAAAAATTACTGGTTCAAAAGTTTGGCAAGTGCTAATATGTACTGGTCCTCCCACAGGCAATATCACAACTTAATTGAAATTTAACATTAAACATATTTGTGAATCATTTAAAATCATTTTCATGCTTTATAATCACTTAACATTTATTATTTTGTCTCGAATAAAATTTGATTAATTATAACTAACCAAGTTAATTACAGAATGAAACACTAAATTAGTCTCACATAAAAAAATAAATTTAAAATCAAAAATTAAATAAAATGTATTAAATAAAAAAGTAAAACATGCTTGTTGATGGGGATTTATAACAGATTAATTTTTTAAGATATAATCTTGCAAAATGCGTAATACATTTTTTTATTTTCTGCATCAAATTCTAGCCATTTGTAAATCATCAGCACTGACCCTGAAATGCACAAGTTTGCTTATTCTTTTCTTATTCAATCCCTTTTTCTTTATTCAATGTTTCATTCATTCCTTTATTATTATTATTGACACGCAGTTATGCCATTTTTGTATGGTTGATTAACAATTGAATATTATTTCAAGATTATCCGAGAGGGCTATCAGTGGTCTGGAACCAGAGGACAAAGAATGAATTTAAAAGCGGGATGCTATGACTTTCTTTAACATATCTAACTCTTACTAATCATTAAATACTATTATAATATTATAATAATATAATATAATATTATTGTCCACAGTAGCTACTAGCTCAAAAGTGTCATTTTTATATGGATTCATTAAATAAAAATGCCCTTTCCTATCTTATGAATGTAGATTCTTTTCTAAGCATGCATCATTTACAACAGTGTTTCCCAAACTGTGGTACGCGTACCCCCAGGGGTACGGGAGCAGTGTAGTGGGGGTACGCGTGCTTATGCGAAATATCTTGAAACAAATGAAAATTTCAAAAAAATTTATTTAAAAACAGAACTAGTCATGAAAATTTACGATTGCGTAAGTGAGATTCAGAATTGAGATTCAGATTCCCAATTGAAAGGGAGAATGAGTAAACTTTTCCCCTTGAGAGGGAAAAGGTATAAAAACTGTTTTTACTTTTGTTTTGAAGTGTGCCCAAGGTTGTTGTGTCCGAGACGGCACTTTAGTATTTATTTTGTTTAATTAAATTTGTTGTTAAATATTGCTTTACATCAAAATCCTTATTTACTTTGAAATCCTTAGTGGCGTGGAGAGGCATCATTGCTGTTTCGAATTTGTAATCGAGAAAACGAATCTGATGCAATCTTGTTTCGTTTTGAAAATACGGTAAGAGCATCATTTTGTGATATATGACTCCTAATTTGTTTAAGTTTCGATGAGTGAGAAAGTTCTTTTTCGAAAATACATACTTAATTACTGATAATTTAAAATTGTTTTGTGTGTTGTCAGAATTATTTTGTTCCGACCGTAATAAATCGTAGAATATGTTATTGTTATTCTATTTAGTATTTGCTACAATATATGTTATATGCTCAACATGCATAATAATGTAGCAACGATATTTTTTATTTTATTTTTTTGTTTCATCAGGAAAATTTTTAAATAATGTGTTGTTTTATGTAGAAGTGATTTGTAATGGTTAGCACGTTTCTGTGTTTTGAAGTAAGAAGCATATCAATGCGAAATCGAAAACAGTGAGCGGTTGTGTTAGCACGTCAGTGCAGTCAAATTAATGTACACAAATCTGTACATCGAAGATGCAGTATGCACGTCAGTGCAATTAAATATAAAAAAAGGATTAACACTCCAGTTACATATAAATTAAAGTTCACTAGTACATTGAAGAGTTATGTACACGCCAGGTACAGTTAAATATAAAAAAAACAATAGCACGCCAGTGCATATAAATTAAGGTACATTAGCACTTTGAAGGGTTAAGTGCACGCCAGTGCATCTAGCTAGTTTGTTGCTGCCGTAAAGAAATGGAAAGAAATGAAGAAGAGACGGTTATTTTCATAAATGATATTTATTTTAATATTTTTAATTAGTTATTTAAATATTTTTCTTAAAAATAACCAAACCTAGTTTTTCTTATAAAANGGTGTTTTTAGAATAAAATAATTAATGCACATCAGTGTATTATGTTTAAGGTGTATCCAGTAACAAATTTATGTACATAAGTACGTTAAGTAAAATTGATTTTTTTTATCATTTGTGGAATTATATTAACTACATTAGTAGTTTTCATCGCATCCAACGCTGTTTATAAGCATTTTAATCTATTAGTGTTCCAAATGCTTTTGATCGTGTCCGAGACGTTACTTTTGTACTTATTTTGTTTGTTGACAGCTAAATTTGTTGTTAAATGTTGCTTAACCCGTGTAATTATTACGTACATCGAAATCCTTATTTATGTAAAATCCTTAGTACTGGCTATTTTTTGAGGAGTTGACAGTTAATAATTAGTGGTGTCAACAGTCAATTGTTATTTTCAACTTTTGAGCTATTTTTTACAGTAAGTATGTAATAAATTCGACTTATTTTGATTATTTTTATAAAATATAATTTTTATACCTAACATAGAATATGGATCGCTGGTTAGTATCTACAACACGTAATGATGATAGTAACAATCAACTGAAAGAACCTGTGAAGAAAAAGGTGAAGAAAACCCGCAAGTATGACAAAGAATATCTTCAGTTTGGATTCTCATGGACTGGAGATGAAAATGAACCTATTCCACTTTGCGTCATTTGTCTTGAAAAACTCACAAACGAAAGCATGAAACCGTCCAACTTAAAGCGCCATTTTGAAACAAACCATAATAAGTACGATAGATTTTTCAAAAAAATCGATAGATTTTTTTGAAAATAAACTTAAGGATTTGAACCAATCTCAAAAAGTTATGCGAGCTTTGACTGGAGGTGACAATAAAAAAATATTAGAAGCTTCTTATCGTGTGTCGCTATTAATTGCTAAATGCAGTGCAGCGGAAACCATTGGTGAAATTTTAATCAAGCCTGCAGCTCAAGCCGAAATAATCATAGGAGAAAAAGCGAAACAAGCTTTTGATAGCGTTTCTCTCTCAAATAATACAGTTCACCGACGAATCATTGATATGTCTAATAATGTGAAACAAATGTTATTATCTGATATTTCTCAAAGTCGTTATTATGCATTACAAGTTGATGAGTCAACTGATATTGTGAATTTTTCAAATCTTATGGCGTTTGTTAGATACGAAAAAAATCAAGAAATTCACGATGACTTTTTATTTTGTCAGCCTTTATTAGGTCACACAACAGGAGAAGATGTCTTTAATGTTGTCAATAAATTTATACAAGAAAACAAAATTGCTTGGAATAGATGTGTAGGAATATGCACAGATGGAGCAAAAAATATGGTCGGAAGTAATAAAGGACTTATTGCGAGAATTAAAAGTGTTGCGCCAAATGTCATATCCACACATTGTTGCATACACAGAGAGGCTTTGGCCACAATTAAAATGCCCGCTGATCTACAGAAAGTTCTGGATGAAAGCGTGAAAATAGTTAACTTTATCAAAACTCGTCCTTTGAATTCACGACTTTTTTCGCTAATGTGCGAAGAAATGGGAAGTAGCCATACCCAGCTTCTTTTTCATACGGATGTTCGTTGGCTATCACGAGGAAAAATTTTAAACAGACTATTTGAATTGAGACATGAACTTCAATGTTTCCTTAAAGATAATTTCGAACTAAAGAGTTGTTTACATGACTTTCAGTGGCTCAGTNGTTTGGCAAGTGCTAATATGTACTGGTCCTCCCACAGGCAATATCACAACTTAATTGAAATTTAACATTAAACATATTTGTGAATCATTTAAAATCATTTTCATGCTTTATAATCACTTAACATTTATTATTTTGTCTCGAATAAAATTTGATTAATTATAACTAACCAAGTTAATTACAGAATGAAACACTAAATTAGTCTCACATAAAAAAATAAATTTAAAATCAAAAATTAAATAAAATGTATTAAATAAAAAAGTAAAACATGCTTGTTGATGGGGATATATAACAGATTAATTTTTTAAGATATAATCTTGCAAAATGCGTAATAAATTTTTTTATTTTCTGCATCAAATTCTAGCCATTTGTAAATCATCAGCACTGACCCTGAAATGCACAAGTTTGCTTATTATTTTCTTATTCAATCTCTTTTTCTTTATTTAATGTTTCATTCATTCCTTTATTATTATTATTGAGACACAGTTATGCCATTTTTGTATGGTTGATTAACGATTGAATATTATTTCAAGATTATCCGAGAGGGCTATCAGTGGTCTGGAACCAGAGGACAAAGAATGAATTTAAAAGCGGGATGCTATGACTTTCTTTAATATATCTAACTCTTACTAATCATTAAATACTATTATAATATTATAATAGTATAATATAATATTATTGTCCGCAGTAGCTACTAGCTCAAAAGTGTCATTCTTATATGGATTCATTAAATAAAAATGCCCTTTCCAATCTTATGAACGTAGATTCGTTTCTAAGCATGCATCATTTACAAGATGCATGAATAAGAAAATTTCATTCTAAACATGCATTAATTTTTCAGTAATGAATGATTTAGGCACAATATGGTTCCAAAAACAATTTTCAAAAAACTAAATTGATTAAGGAAGCATTTTTTCCTTTGGAAATAGGAAAAAATATTTCGTGAAATCAAGAGTTATCGAGAAATGCCTTCAGCTAAAAGATGTTTTTAATATTGTCGGCAAAATAAATACAGATTTTATTAGGTTATTAGATTTCATCAAATTTTAATATTTTAGGAGCGGGGCAATAAATCTCATATAATATCCCATATATAAATTTTGGCCATTGTTCATGAGGTAATTGTATTAGATTTAAATTTAAAAATATAAGGAGCACAAACTACATCGAGCAAGAAATTTGAGTGAGTAATTTAAGTTCATGTAGGGAATGGTCAACACAGAAGAATCTCTCTAGAGGTAAAAACTTTACATTTAAAATAAATTAACTAAAGCAAGTGATAAGTCAAACGGAAAAAAAAGTTAACTTTTTTTAAAAACAAAGGTTTATTACTTGATCAAGGACTTTTTCCATTCCAATATGGCCACTGGAGGGTAATGTAGTTTTTAAGTATGACACAATAGATTCAAAAGAATTACATTTCACTATCTGAGCCTGGTGGACTTTCAGTAATAAAGCTGAAACTTTAAAGATCACAGACATTCCTTGCAGAAACAACATGTCTAGAATAATTAAATAAATAAATAAATAACAGATGAAGAAAACCATTTAAAATCATCAATATTGAAAAAACATACCAAGTAGGCGAGAAACAAATCCAATGGGAAAATGAGATGCAAATAAAGTGAGAAACCATGGTGCTGCATAAAGCATAGGAGAGACTTCGTACTTATCAAATAATTCATGTACCTCGGGTGCAGTGTTCTGAATGAGTCTGGCAAGTTGATACATTTGTACCTACACAAAATGTACACATCAGCATTTAGTACTTTAATTATCAACATTAGAATCCAGTATTTTCAAAATTTATGCCAACAAAAAATACATATAATTCTTCTACATTAAATATTCTATTACACTATACATTAGAGTTAAGCTATCACGAAAATTCAAATTATTAACATTGGGATACCTGCAAGTGACATAGTATCTCGATCCTGATTGGTTGTTGAATAGTGGCATTTGTTTACGTTAGCAACTGTTTTTTTCCATTCTATTTCGAGTAAGTCAAGTCCACCAAGTATCAATTCTATTAAGTGGCACATTTTATATTCATACACAAAGATTTCAATTTTTTCACTGAATATTTCTTACATAACACAAAGACAGGCACAAAGCCGTGTAGAACATAAGTAAACTAGTAATGCATCAAAGTTGCCAGGTACGCAAAACAAAAATATATTACTGTTACAATAAAATAAATAAAATAATAAATCTAAGCTAAGTAAAAAATTATATTTTAACAAATTTGATGTGCGATACGGCATTGTATTTAATTAACTTTATGTTAATTGACATTCTAACTTATGTGGAGAGACTTAGCTCAACTTTAACACGCCATCTTGTTTATAAACGATCAGAGGTTGCTGAGGTCATAGGTTACAGATATCAATAATCTTCTTCTTCTTGAAGTGCAAGCACCCAATTTTAAGAAATGAAAAAAAAAATTTTTTTTTTTAATTCACTAAATGATTGAATTGACTAAGTGTTTATTCAGAAAAGTTAATAGTGCAAAAAACTAAAAAAAACTTTTGCCATTTAATGTAACCAATATTTAAAAACATGCTCAAATGAAGTTGAAAGCCCTAAAATATAGGTTTAGCAATTTCTAGATAATGAAAGCAAGCAAAACTTACATTAAAAACATATCTTAATAAAGAAAGGACTTGCAAAGAAATAAATAACATATATTTGCTGTTCTCTCCAATTTGAGAGAAACTAAAGTATCCTGGTAAAGTGATGACAATTGTTTTATATTCTCAGTTCATGTAGCATCAAAAACTCAGAACATTTATATGCAAGAATCTAAGATTTAATAACTTGTGCTGAAAATTTGTTTGAAATATAACTGTATTTAATAAATATCTCTGGATATAATAATATTTTTGCTTTGATAGCAATACATAATTGTATAAATTTTTTATTTTGCATAGATTTTTTACAATTTTAGTGTGTAACATTTTTTGTAACAAGGGAGAGATACTTAAATTTTAATAATAAAAAAATATTACTTTATTTTCTATGTCCAGCCAGGATGCCATAATAGGCATTACATATTTCCCAGCTTTTAAAATCTCTTTAATTTCTTAAATTTAATTTTTTTAATCATTCTTAATCCAATTTTAATTGAATTAAACCAATTATTCAATTTTCATTACATTTTATAAATAGCAAATATAAATATTTTATCCACTTCTTAACAATCAATGTAAAGGCTAGCTTTTTAATTCAAGGCAAAAAAACTCATGAATTCACTGTCGTGACTAAATCAAACATCAAGATCTATTTATAACTCTTTATTCCTTAAGTTATTTTATTTCCCTTATCACAAAAATGTTTCAGCTACAGGGTTATATTAATTCTCACATTCATTTCGGCGATTAGGCTGTAACCAAATTATTTCAAATTTAATACTAATTAATTTGAAATAATTTGGCTTTGTTTTTGGCAATTTTATCATTCAAAAAATCGCTAACTATGAATCTCTTCCGTGCTCCTAACTGGAAACATTCAATCACTTTTAATTTTGAATTCTTGGCATTAGGGCAGGGGTTTTTCATCCCTTGATTCGACCGTTGAATTACTTAACGAAATCTTCATTTTAGAAAGATATGCATCTCTTTATTCCTATAAAGGAGCATTCTACAATTTTGAAATCTTCATGGCCATGATGTACCTAATAATAATATTTCTAAACAAAATAATAAATCAAAAAAAAATTTTTAAGTAATTTTGTTCAATTCTTTGGAATAAAACCCTATATTATAAAAAGTGCAAACGTACAAAAATTATACTACTATGGGCAAAATCTTCACAAAAACTGCAATGAAATTACCTTCATCATACAAACTGGAACAACTTCCAATACATAATTATGAACAAACTTCCATCAAAACCAATATAGAATTTTTTCCAATATCTAAAAACAGCAATCTCTAATAATAGGAAAGCGATCAAGTGTTTATAAATTTAAACAATGTGTTCGTAAAATTAAATTAACCCTACCTTATTCAGATATGACTTTTTTTTATTTAAACTACAAGAAATATTAAGTATTACATTTCTAACAATATTTCTGCAGTTTTAAAAATACAGAGGTTCAAACTAGTTCAAAGTCAACTTTATATAATTAAAAGTTTTTTTGAATAAGATGTTGAGGTTTCATGGAATACTGAATAAAATTGACAAAAGCTAAAATAATAAATTATAACAATGTAGAAAAAAAAATAAGAACATTTGTTAGCAAGTTTTTAAGATCAACAAAAACAAAGAAAATTCACTGGCAATATTCATAACCATTCATAAAATACTTAAATAAAAATACCTGCAAAGCAGCCATATCTGACTTGTATTGATTTCTCAAGCCCAAAGTAAACATTATATGTTTTAGAGCATGAAAAGCTTTCTCTTCATCGAGCTGAAATGAAAAGCAATTAAAAAACTATTACTAGAACATACTATTTCTAGTTAAAATATGAAAATATAATCAGTTTAATTTTATAATACAGTGAACTCCTGATTATCTACAGCCTGGTTCAAGAACAATATTTCAGATAAAAAGATAGCTGGCAAGGACAATATCTCATGCAAACAAAATCTTACTTACATGAAATACAACACAGCAAATACTAGTTTTTAGACCTGCAATATTTTATCCGCAAAAATGCAAAGACATATTTTAACCTTTTAAATATACCATACAGATTGTGAGCTCAACTCAAAAATCCTGAAAATTTCTCCAATAAAATCATTAATTACTTTTACTTCAAAAAATTAATGTCTTTATAAATTTAAATTATTGACATTTTCAAAACATGAAATTCTAAACAAATTATACGCAGCATAATTTAAATGAATAATTATGCATAAGTTTACTTTTATATCTAATCACATTTATTATTCTATCAGAAAAAATATTTACAAATGAAAGAGATGCCAAGTATAAATTAGAGTTGTAATATTTCTAAATAAAACATAAAATTTTTTTTATACATAACTGTGATCAATAATTTCTTGAAACTTTTGCACCTTGGATATCCGGAAACTTCCGGATCGCGCTAACCAAAAAATTCGGAAATCCGGAGCACAATCATCTCTGATGCAGAGCAAAAATTATAAATTGCAGAAAAAATAGATAACGAGTATCTTCTAAATAAGACTTACAACAAGGATGCAAAACTTAAGGCTCGAGGATCAAAACTGTCCTCTAAACAGTTTTAAACATTAATAAAAAATGTACTAACGAAAAACTATTTAACAAAAAAATACAAAATCAAAAGAAAAACCTTTTTTTCCGCCTTCAAAAAAGGGGAAGTTATTCATTCACTATTTTTATTACTCATTCTGCACTTTTATTCACTTGTTTTTCGCCAATATCAGTGCAAGTTTGAACTTGATAGTAAGCATTTCTTTTTTCAAGCTTAATTTATGGCTTTGACATCAGTTCATAAAGAAAAATATAATTTCCTACAAATTTCATATATTGCTACATGGTTACTGTCAATTAGGATAACTTACCCTACATTTTCATGATTACAGTTTTACTTTGTCTGCCAACATAATATTTTTTTAGTTTTTATGGCATCTTGACTTAGATTAATTTTAAACTAAATTTTACAAAAAAAGCACTCTTTACATACAATACTAATTAAATAATGAAGAAGTTGAAAATAGATGAAAAATAAATACTCACATGAAGCAACAGTATTCCTCCCAGAAAACTCAACCCTTGGCAATACCCTACCTCTTCATCAACAACAGAATATGCTTTTAAAAGGCTAAATAGAGATAACTGGCCAGAACCCAAAACTTGTTTGAAATATGGATGACCAGGATATGTTCGCCCTGAAATTCAATTTAATACTGAAAAGCCAAACATTTTAAATACATAAATAAAAAAAAATTTAAAAAATAAATAACATGGTTTTACAACAATACTAAATAATTTAGTATGACTAAAAAAATTAAAAATCAAAATCGATTTTTATTTTAAAAAGTCCCCAATTTAAATATAACTTACACTTGGCAGCTTTCCTCCAAAGATTATTACAGAGTCAGAGCTAAATTAGCTTGATTTATAGTTATTGCTTGATAAGATCAAATTTATTAAACAATAAATTGCTACCTAAATTTACTCTAAACATGAAACCAATAAATTAACATATACAGATATTATTTTTGTCTATGTTAATCTTAAAAACTATAAAATAACATACCAATGTCAACCAAAATTGCATGTTGATAAGGAGTAAGCTTCCGAAGCAATTCATGATAAGGAGTACTGTCTACGGGCGGACATTTCCTAGAACTGCTATATTTATCAGCTAAAAACAACCATACTTCTCCTCTCTTCTTTCGAGGCACACCTACAAAGTAGTTTTAAATATCAGATTATCATTTTCAAGATAAAAACCAAGCAAAAAATTTGGAATTATATAACACAAGCAAGACCAATAAAAATATTATATTACTCCTATCTTACGATTAGTATCTTACATCAATGATTAGTATACTTACTTCAATTTTTTTAAATATCCATGGTAAGCTATCTTAACAATTTTAATTAGTTTTCTAAGCAACAAAAATAAATGATTCCAAGTGTAGTACGCTTTACATAAGTTATTAAACATATGCCAATTTGTTTTTAGGATATGCATACAGATGCAATCGTATGTGTTCTACTAAGGCATATTAAAACAGAAAACAAAATTTGTACTATTTTTTTTTTAAAGTAAAAATTAATCACTTTCAACTATCACATTCTTAAAATATATCGCTCATGGGCTCCAATAGCGGTACAACTCAAAAAATCATGTTTTTAGATAAGAGGGTTTAAAGTTTTCATTGCTAAGGAGAAGGCATAAGAAATGCTTTAGCTTGGTGAAACGAAGATTACCTTCAAGTTGAATTATAAGTTGTGCTAGTATTGCTGCTGAAAAGAACGTGTATTTTCATATTTACACCTGCTCTTAGTCCAAAACGCATGTTTTTTTAGTTGTGCCACTATTGCAGCCCATGAACGATATATATATATATATATATTTTCATTAAACATTGATTGTGAACTTAAATGTAAGTTGCACTTTGATTTTTCTTAATATTTTATTTTAGTACTATTAAATGTAAATTATTATTACTTAATTTTGATACAATATATAATTTATTACTTGTTTTATTTATTGTTATTACTTGTTTACAATAATACATAAAGTTTGGAAAGTAATAACATTTCAGATTAAAATTCTTATTTAATTATAAGGAAATTTTTTCCCTTTTTTTCTTTGCTATTTTTAATGGCACTTTTATGTAATTTTAAGGTCTTCAAAATTTGGGCTCTAGTTATAATTGTTCTACAACATTTATGTATTTTACGTTTTAGGTCGTAAAGTTCAATGAAACTGTTTGAAAGTGGACCGTGTATGAGTGACGTTATTTAAGTTTTATTAAAATAAAAATTTTAATTATTATCTGTAAGAAGATTACTCTTTTAAGATTTATATGTCATAGATTGACATAGTGATTGTTAGGGCATTAGGAATGCAGTTTCAAACATTTAGATTTCCTTTACCTTGCAGATAACCTTTAAATTTGAAAATGTGATTTTAAAAAAAAGTCAAAGGAAATGTGTAAGGTGAAAAATTTTTGTATATTTGATCTCTCATTAGTGGTTTACTACAAAAAGACGGGTTATAATTGCAAAGGTTGCGAACTTGACTGTTTTGCAGTAAACTCAACTAAGCTAAAATAATTATAATGTTAAAATAAAAAAAGTAAAATGAAAGAATTCTCAAAATTTATAGTTACCATATCTAATTGCAGATTCTAATGAAGCATAATTTCCATCAGATGAGAAAACTTCTTCCCATTTCTTAACAGCATCATTGGGACATGGAGATATGACTTCATAATCAAGCTTTAAATGTTTTTCCAATATTTTATCTTGCTTCACTATCACCAAAAATAAAACAAAGTGAAAATGTTGCAAAAACAATAAAAGGCAATTCCATTGTTACATTTTGATACCTTTTCATATTTTTATAGCTTTTCATATTTTTAAACTTTTTTTCACTGAAAAATATTAAATATTTCTTTTTTAATATTTAGATAGGATGTTATTATATGTATGAGAAAAAAGGAAGAAAATTATAATTGCTTTATTTAGAATATAAAATGTGTATGACATTACATAGAAAGGACATAGAGTATTTTGAAATGCTCCTTCCTTTATAAGCAATAACGGGATTATTTTTTCAAATTTATTTAACTTCAAATAAGTAGGGAATGTTGAAAATACACCTGAACAGACATATAAAAAGTAGCAAATAGATAAAAAGCTCTTCTGACTGATGTTACAAATAGAAACTGTATTAAAATTTTCTTATGAACATAGCATGTTATAAATAATGCATGGCTCAAACCAAAAAAAGGCACATTTCATAAAATTCTATGTAAATTTAATGAATAGATATGTAAATGTATGCAACATAAGTAAATTGCACCAAAAAATGCATTTCCATTTATAAATAACTTATTAATTATTTCAATTTTTTAATTTTTAGACAAGTAATAGTTAGATAACTAAGTTTAATTTACAATCTAAAAAAATAAAGTAGTTTTTATTATTGTGCATTCTTTGTAAAAAATATTATATAAAGAAATCATTCAAATTATAAATTAGGTAAACAGGCATTCAATATGAATTTAAAATATACAAATAAATAAATATCAAATTAGTTGCACATTACAAATATTTTATATAAATGAGCAGAAATCTGAAAAATAAATTATTACTTGTAAATAAAAGTAGCTGGAAAACTTTCATGAATATAAAAGAGATATTTCTTGAAAAATAACAAATGATCAAAATTTAAATGATTGAAAATATAAATGACCAAAAGTTAATTGAGGAAATAAAAAGTGCAAAATCATTACAAAACGAAGAAAAAAGAACATCATGTGATATAATATCTCTTTTTTCAAATTACTTTTTACAGATACTTTTGACGCTATTTTGTACGAATGAAAAAAATATAAATATTTTTTTGCTGAATTATCTCATGTCTAATTATCTCAACCAAAAGAACCAAAAGAACGATAGCTTAGTCATCTTTTGTAGATGCTCATATTAGGTAGATACGTTTTGTATTTTACAGTGAAAATGGGGCCGGGAATATTTTTTTTAAAAATTTCATATGCATGTATATACAAAAGGCAAATAGAATAACTGAACACACAAATAAAACAGAGCAAACAAATAAAACTGGAGAGGAAGCAAAAGACCTTCTTCCTGGTGATATGTATTACCAGAGCTGTACAAAATTCTGATTTTGCATACAATGAAAAATGCTTTTTAGACAAAGTGGCAATTCACAAACGAGTTTCGCAAAACAAAGAAACAGCACACATTTTTATTTTTTTTGTTCTCATGAGTAAAAATAAAAATATATCAATAAGTTTAAAAGAAAAAGAAAATAATATTTTCTCCATTTGATAAATCAATTTTTTATAAGACGTAAATTTTACTTAATCAACTCATTTGGTTACTATTAATTGTATCCAATTTGGAAGGTCAACAGGGTATTTTCTGCACCTTTTATTACCAATAATCTTTTACTTTAGAATTGCATCAATGAAGGATTTAGCGAGCAAGTGATTACCGCTCATCTCTGCCATGTTAGTATCCTGGTGAATTAAATTATTAATAACACATGCTTTTAAGGTAAAGCATGAAATACAATGATTATTAAAAACGAACGCCTTTCTTAAAGACAACTAAACTAAATAAATCATCTTATTACCAGAAGAAATTACTTTCAACTAAAGCTAATAAACTATAATACTAATTAAAAGTATGAAACAATTATTTTTCATACTTTGCTGGCTTTCCATTTGGTATAATATAGAATGCCTAGGCGATGAGCATATTGTGTTATCATTTAATCTATTCTGGAAATTTATACAATGCCAGATTTCCAGCTTTGTTGGGTTTTGTTTTTTTTAAATTACGCCCGCCATCGTCTTCTCAGACATCCTTGGAGTCCAAAACACTGAAGTAGCTCCAGAAGATGAGAGGGCGCAAAAGTCATCACAGGAACGAATGCCAAGAAGAGAGGGGCAATCAAACAGATGCTCCCCAGTCATAGGCGAAGTGTTGCAGAACACGCAAAGAGGTGAATTGACCAGGTTAATTTTAAATAAATGGGCCTGCAAGTAGTCATGTCCAGTAATTAATCTAAGGCAAGCAACTCCCTCAGCTCTGGGAAGGAGGGAAAGGTGAGAGCGCTGCTGGTCATCAAGAAGGCTAGCCCAGGATTTTCCATCAGCTAAGTCCCTAAGAGCAGATATTGTTCTGCGCCTGAATTTGCTCTTAAGAAGCCGCCTTGCATTTCTGAGGGGAACTGGATGAGAAGATGTATGCAATGCTGAAGCCTCTCTAGCCAACATGTCGGCCCGTTCATTTCCGTAAATGCCACAATGGCCAGGGATCCACTGGAGGACAACCTCTCTTCCAGAAAAACATAACATACATTCCTTTGCTGGTAACATACATTCTTTTTAGTAATATCAGGGATGTGATTGACAAAAACACAAAAAAGAGGAAGTTTATAACTGTAGCATTAAACGTGCAAAAGAAAAAATGATATGAATTCAATAGCCAATTTGATAATGATTACATTATTATCTATTCAAATAAATATAAATAAATGGTAATTATGTTCTTAAATAAAATAATTTTTTTTTAATAATTTAGATAACTTTGAGTAATTATGCATAAGCACGATTTTATGTATCACATTATTTTAAAAAACATTTCTTTAATGGTCAAAGGACCTTTATGGACTTTCTCATCAGTTCTTTGTTTTTTCGATGGTCTTTTATTAACATGACTGATCTGTAGACTGCGTTTTGCAGACTTTTGATCATCAGTGTTGATAGGACAAGAAAGTTCATTTCTCACACAATTTTTAGAGGCCTTAGATTAAGAATCGCGATGTTGGATTTCAAAATCGCGTGAATAAGAATCGCGATGCTTGATTTTAAAATCGCGTGAAAAAGAATCGCGATGCCGGATTTTAAAATCGCGTGAATAAGGCGATATCGGATTTTAAAATCGCGATGTTGGATTTTAAGATTGCGTGAATAAGAATCGCGATGTTCGATTTTAAAATAGGGTGAATAAGAATCGCGATGTTGGATTTTAAGAGTGCGTGAATAAGAATCGCGATGTTCGATTTTAAAATAGGGTGAATAAGAATCGCGATGTTGGATTTCAAAATCGCTTGAATAAGAATCGCGATGTTGGATTTTAAAATACCGTGAATAAGAATCACGATATTGAATTTTAAAATCACGTGAATAAGAATCACGATATTGGATTTTAAAAGCACGAAAATACAAATCGCGGTATTGAATTTTTAAATCACATAAATAAGAATCACGATGCATAATTTTTAGAGTCCGTGAATACTTATCGCAACGAGTAATGTTTAAACGGCGTATAAATACGAAAATCAATGTTTGATATTACAACAGCGTGATAACGAATCGCAATATTGAAATTTAAAAATATATAATACGAATCGCGACATTGTATTTTAAACTAGCGGGAATATGAATTGCGATTTTGGGTTTTAAAAACGTTTAAATACAAATCACGATATTGGGTTTTAAAAACGCTTAAATACAAATCGCTATATTGAATTTCTAAATTGCGTGAATGGGAATTGCGAGTAATGATTTTTTAATCGTGTAAAAACGAATCTCAACAAGTAACTTTTAAATCAGTTAAATACGAAAATCGATGATTTACATAAAAATCATCTAAATAAGAATCGCAATTTTTGCAGATTCTGGCCCAGTTCCTAATATTTAAAATTCTGTAAATCAGCCAATCAAAAGAAATCAAATATCAGCGGTCGAAACGAAACTGCTTAGGACTTTTTTTCAATCTATAACGAAGTCGCGGTTGTCAAGGCAACAGCGTACATGCCGAAATTCTATCTATTTTCTTCTGAAGATCATTTTCTCAAGAGGCTACTGCAGGGGGGGGGGGGGTTCGTCGCAAGTCCGACTATATCGTTAGTTCGACACCCCAAAAGTTTTTGGAACATGGTCGGAAATTTTAAAAAGTCTTTCATCCCTGAAAAGATAAGAGTAGTGGAGTAGGAGACGGCATTTTTTTACCAAGGTCAACCACTTTCACCCCAGCCAACTGATTGACATGTGAAGAAAAGTTTATTGGGGGCTTCAATACTTCGCTCCGCGGAAGAAAAAAATTTTCAACAAAAAATCATTTACTGCATAAAAAATTTTTCCGCACGGAAATTTATGAAAAAAGAGTGGAAGATATGGAAAAATCTGAAAAAAGCGGAAATCAGCGGATCCGAGGAAGAATCACATCCCTGTAATATTTGTGCTTTTCACGTAGAAATAAACAACACACAGTTTGATTTATAGTTTCAGGGTTCATACTTAATTTATGGGGGGATTCCTTAGCTTTCCCTAATTAACACAGCTATGTAATGAATTAGTATAGCAACTATGCAATGAATTAGTATAACAACTATGCAATGAATTAGCATAAAATAACATAAAAATAATATTGAGTAATACAATACGCCAATAAAATTCTTAAAGCGTGAAAAATAAGAAGTCATATATCAAAACAAAATTTCCATTCTTACATAATATATGGTGCATTATACAACAATAATAAACTAACATGTTACTAAACCTACAAATCAAACTTTTTGCTAATCATAATTCTCAACATTTGAATGAGTTTCAAGCAAATGATTAATTATTGCTAACTAGTTACATAAGGTGAAAAAATTAACATCTTTAACTTTTAGTTCAAAAAATAAATAAAAATATGCATTTAACATAATAATTGTATCTTTGAAAAATTATTCAAACATTACATTAAATAAATTTTTATAAAGTTTCAACATTGCATAGGAAAATTAAAAATTTGTAGAAGGGTTTTAAGGGAAAAATTATAACATAATAAAAAATTCTTTTATAAAGTTAAAAAGGTCCAAAAATTTAAATTTTTCCAGGATTTTTATTCTCTATTTCCAGATTTTTAACAAAATTTTCGTATTTTGTGAGCATTTCCTAATTTTTTAAAAATTTTTTTTTACCTAATTTAAAATTCCCTGAGTTTTCCAAGTTCTTTTTTTGGCAACCTGAATTTCTAAAAATATAGACCATACTTAATAACAGAAATGTGTAAAAATAACTAATAGTAACTAGTTTATAAATATTTCATATAGTACTCTCTATCAAATCTTACATTTCAATTTCTTCTGTTCCCTTTCAAGTCGAATGAGTATAATTTGTTCCATTATGGCTTTTTTCCACAAAGCTTTTAAATGAGAAGATGAATGTTTGGGAGGTTCAACTCTCTTTTCTTCAGAAACTTCACCTACATTTAAAATACATATTGCACTTTAATGAATTTGAAGGTAGACTATACAATTCAACTTTTTTAACATATCTTTTCATTACCATTACTAATGAAAGCATCTGAGACAGAAACAAAATTATAGTGATTAGGTTTGTCAATTATTTAAAAAATTTTTAACTGAAAAGAAGTAGTTATTTCAATCTCTTAAATTTTAAATGCCAAGAAGAAAAATCTATTGGTACAAAAAATAAATAAACAGATTAAAATCCATCACCATTGCTTTATTATTTCTTAATTGAAAGCTTATCTTAACACTTTACTGACCAAATGAATTGTGTCTGACTATAAGCTAGCAACCACATATTTTTAACAACTAAGTATGGCCAATGGGAACATATGCTTGATCAGTTATTTACTGACAGTTTTCAAAACAGAGAGATCTTCCCGCTTGGTTGGACATCGAAAAAAACTTTTTTTTTTAAATATAGAACACTTAATGGAATTCTTTTTCTCACAAATATAGAACTGCAAAACTTGAATATCAAAACTAAATAACCTTATCATAAAATATTGCAAAAGGTAATATCAAGTGACTATTTCAGAAAACAATAAAGAACACTTTTATCATTAAATACTTAACTTCAAATAAAAATAATACATAAAAGACATGATTACAGAGAATAAATAGTAAAAAGGAATTATATATAAATATTTATGACTGGTAAACACTGTTAGAATAAGGGATAAATAATTTACAAATAAGTACCAGAATAGCTTTCATTAATTTTATGCCGATGTTTGTTGATGTATGATGTATGCTGATGTTTGATGATGTATGTTGTTATAATTAAGAGATTTTTTTGTCCAACGAGAATGCCCCAAAATGTAAAGCAACAATTGTCTTCATATCTTAAATCACGACATTATTTTTACAAACAAATTATTTAAAATACGAGAAAGAAAAGATGATTCTGTCAAGTTATTTCACATATGCCAAATAAAATAAAATTCAAAAATACTAGAACTTTTAATTACCAAACACAATATCTTTGGTATACTGCTTCTGAACACGATTGAACAGCATTTTTCTCCAAGAACCTTTTGAACCGTGATGTTCTTTTATTTCTTTTAAAGGAAACACACCTTTCTTCGAGCCAACTCTTAAGAATCTATGAAAAAATTTTACTTCTTAATAATGAAATGTAGAAAAAGCCATTAATTAGAATATATACATGTAAATAAATATATAATTTGGAATGAGCCTTCATTTAAATTAAAAAAAGAAAGAAAACTAATCAAATAGTTTTTGTTTTTCTTTTAAAGCAAAAATTTGATTTAAATGTCTGTTAATATTAATTCATATCTTTATCAGTCGCCTAATGTTATTTGGAATTACAAATTATAAACTTTAACCTTATGGTAATCTATTTAAGTGATACAGTTAGCTTAGTGACAATTTATAGTTCAGGGAAAGTTTTAAAATAGAGGGAGAGTGACAAATGTTTGATATTACGCTATTTCATGTAAAATTTCTTGTTATGCTGAATATATTTTAGTAAGAACTGATTTCAAATTTTCATGTCAAGTAAATGGGTTTATACTTTGTCACTTGTCTTGCACAGCATGATGAATTTTAAGCTGAAGGCAGTTTTCATCACAGAAAAAGTTTGATCTTTTATCCCAAGCACATTCCTAGCAAATTTTCACTTATTGTCAGCAACGAATTTAAAAAAAAGAAAAAATGCTAATAGCTCAATACAAAGCAACATTTGCCAAGTGCACCGAATTTCATGATTCTGATAAATATATTATTTAAAAAAAATCATAAAACAGAATAGCAAAAAATTTATTTATGCTAAATAGAGTGCTTAATAATCAGACACAGAAAATAATGTTATAAGCTTATATTTTGTAGAAGAGAGAATTTATAAAATGAAATTCAATATCATTGACTAAAAATCTTCAGAATAGCACTAAATACAGTCTTTCATCTCTCATAGTTGAATCAATATAATTTTTTACACATCTAAATTTCTTAAAAAGAATGCTCTTTTTTGACAGCAGTGAAAGGAATAATTTTTGTTAAATGAAAGTATATTTGAAGCTGAATTTTTGTAATTTAATGTTTTCAAGAATTTACTTTAGCTAATGTTATTAGTTTTTAATACATTCAAGTTATGAAAATATAAAAAAATCGAAGCTAAGCTTTCATCAAATATTTTTTTGGAATTTCTTTCACTTAAATAATAGAAATAGAATCTTCCCTTATTATCACAGTTATTCATAATGTCTTTCTTTACATCAAACAGAACTTTATACACTTCAATGTAGCTAAACGGATTTTTTGCAACATATTAAACAGAGAGATAATAATTTCAAGCAATCTTGAAATTTGATAAGTTTTAAGAAATTAAAAATAAATAAAAAAAACATATTCATCACCTGAGTTGAATATCAAATAAAGAAAAAATAAAATTAGCTGAGTTGAGAAGAATTAGTTGAGAAGATTGAATATTTCTAACTAAATTTTGGGTGTGATTAAGATAGTAAGAACCTGTTAATAAAAATTTTAGTGGCACACATTTTTAATTCTAATCACGATGGTGGGGAATAAAATTGATTAGTATTTTATGCATCATATCTGAGTTGATAAAATGTCATCAAAAAAATTTTAATGATATACAATTCCAGAAACTTAACACATCAAAACGTAATTAAAACACCAATAATATGCCTTTCATTCATCTAACACGTACAAAAAATTAAATAAATGAACCAAACAAGCAGAGGGAAAAACAGTGTTATAACACACAATAAGCATCTAAACAAATAAGCTAATGTAAACAAATCACAAGTAAGATTACTCACTAGCAGTTACACACAAAAAAAAGACAAACAATAACAGGAAGGGTCAGCAACATAGTCACAATCTAAGCATTGGTGGCAGTACTAATAGTAGCTTAATTCATTATGTGCTGATATGTGCATGCCTAGTGCTATGTATTCAACTTACATGTTTCTCAAAGGTGATGCCTTAAGTGGAGCCCTAGGCAGCTCATTAATTCTCACATCAGATGCAGCTAAGATATTATCTTTGCTTTTGGATGGCATCTGATGCTCTCCACGATGCAAATCCCAAATCACAGCAGCTGTGTCACTAAGGGAACGTTCTGTGCCAGTTCGTAAGCTGGTCGATTCTTTGCGAACATACGTAGATGGCCCAAGGTCAATAAGTTGACCTTCAGTCGGTGGTGGTGTTGCTTGTTTAGAAACTTCCTTTTGAGGATACTTTATAGTGCTATCTTCAGATTTTCCAACATTTGATATATTGCCCATAATTTTTGACTTTTTCTCTTGGCCCGATTTAGTTTTTTTGTCTCCAAGTAATTTGTGTTCAAGGTGAGAGCCAACAGGAAGAGAGTATGCTTTTGTAAGTGGAGCATCCTTTAGTAAAGGTTAGAGTAGAGAAAAGAAAGAGTTCAAGAGAAAATTAGAAAGATATTGTACGAGACATAGAAAGAAACAGAAACTAAAGAAACAGAAATATACTTCACATGAAAATATATTTATTACATAATAAATTAATGAAAAATTCCAGAAATGAAAGCAAAATGTTAAAAGGCAACTGTTGTCAGTACACAATTTCATGTTTTTCACTTACAAAGTTTATAATATGAACTAGTTTGAATATATAAGAGAAATCTAAAAATAAACCATAAATTATTTTTTTGTAGGCACATGTTTCAAACATAACTAGGAGCCCAGCAAGCAATCATTTATCTTCAGTCGTAACAGTATGTAGAATCAAAAAATTTTAATTTTGCTGCGATTAATTTCTCCTTCGAATCAAAAAATCTTAAAACTGTCAATTTATACTATTTATACTAACTATAGATTGCAACTAATTATAGATTGCAAATCTTATTCCTCAATAGATACAAGAGTACATGGCTGCAAAACAGTTCCCTAGCTAATAATTTTCATTAAATTGAATTATGTAGATTAAAAAAACTTCAGCATAAATTCACTTAAAACTAATGATGGTATAAATAGCATTTTTACGGAAGAATGTTCCTAAAACAATTCATCGAAAAAATTCAACTTTTCATATTTTTTTCATCCAATTGTTTTTTCATAATGAGTGTAAGACACATATACAATAATAGTTTTCTAAAACAGTGATATTATTGCAATAAATTAAGTTTAGGAAAATTTTAAACCAATTTAAAAACATTATTTGCTGATGCAATATTTTTAGACAATAAATTATACATACAAAACTAGAAATAACAAATGAAAATGGATGTCATAAACTAGCGGTAGCTATACTGTGAGAGTAGAAAAGAATTCTGAACACTTATTCATAGCTAATGAATAATGGATTAAGTTGGATAAAACTGTATACTTTAAAATAAATAAGTAAATTGACAAAATATATGGTGGAATGTAGTTTTATAGGAAAGGACAGTTAGTTTGAACATTCTAATGGCATGCACGATTTTGTGCATTGGTCAATACAATGAAAAAGTTACTATAATGTGGAATTGTATTAAAGCGAGTATTCCGTCTTACTCGCCTCCTAATGTGGTGCCTGAGATTGAATCCCAGCTTTGGCTTATCAACGAACAATGGTTGAACGAATTCCACACCCAGCTTGCACCGATTGCAGTGCTGACATAAAATATCCTCAATGGTGGATGGATTATGGGTTAGACTCCCCTTGCCGTCAAGCTAGTCATAGGAGGTTTTCATGGTTTTCCTCTTCATGTAGCGCAAATGGGGGTTAGTTCCATCAAAAAGTCCTAAACTAACATAAAATTTTTCCCAATACTTGATCCAGGAGTTCCCTTGTTTTCTGGATTGGGTTCAAAATAGCAAGACTACAGATTTGAACATTGGTAGTCATAAACTCAAAATTGAGTCAGCTATTCAACAACAGTGAAAATATATATATATATATATACATATATATAAATACATTGGTTTTTAAACAATAAAAACACTATCAAATTCTGTGGAATCACAATTGAGGAAACAAAGATGAAATGTATCAAAACTAGTTTGTTTGNTCTTTGCGAACATACGTAGATGGCCCAAGGTCAATAAGTTGACCTTCAGTCGGTGGTGGTGTTGCTTGTTTAGAAACTTCCTTTTGAGGATACTTTATAGTGCTATCTTCAGATTTTCCAACATTTGATACATTGCCCATAATTTTTGACTTTTTCTCTTGGCCCGATTTAGTTTTTTTGTCTCCAAGTAATTTGTGTTCAAGGTGAGAGCCAACAGGAAGAGAGTATGCTTTTGTAAGTGGAGCATCCTTTAGTAAAGGTTAGAGTAGAGAAAAGAAAGAGTTCAAGAGAAAATTAGAAAGATATTGTACGAGACATAGAAAGAAACAGAAACTAAAGAAACAGAAATATACTTCACATGAAAATATATTTATTACATAGTAATATTAATGAAAAATTACAGAAATGAAAGCAAAATGTTAAAAAGGCAACTGTTGTCAGAACACAATTTTATGAAAAAGTTTTTCACTTACAAAGTTTACAATTTGAATTAGTTTGAATATATAAGAGAAATCTAAAAATAAACCATAAATAATTTTTTAGTTGGCACATGTTTCAAATATAACTAGGAGGCGCTGCCCCAGCATGCAATCATTTATTTTTATCTTTAGTCGTGACAGTATGTAGAATCAAAAAATTATAATTTTGCTGCAATTAGTTTCTCTTTCAAATCAAAAAGTTTTAAAACTGTCAATTTATAGTATTTACTTACTCTAAAACTATTGATTACTCTAAAACTAATTATAGATTGCAAATCTTATTCCTTAATAGATACAAGAGTACATGGCTGCAAAACAGGTCCCTAGCTTATAGTTTTCATTGTATTGAATTATGTAGATTAAAAAAAACTTCAGCATAATTCACTCAAAACTAATGATGGTATCAATAGCATTTTTACGGAAGAATGTTCCTAAAACAATTCATTGAAAAAAATGCAACTTTTCATGTTTTTTTCATCCAATTGTTTTTACATAATGAGTGTAAGATGCATATACAATAATAGTTTTCTAAAACAGTGATATTATTGCAATAAATTAAGTTGCATACTTAAAAATAGGACAATTTTACACCAATTTAGAAACATTATTTGCTAATGTAATATTTTTAGACAATAAATTATACATACAAAACAAGAAATAACAAATGAAAATGGATGTTACAAACTAGTGGTAGCTATACTGTGAGTGTAGAAACAATTCTTAACACTTATTCATAGCTAATGAATAATGGATTAATTTGGATAAAACTGCATACTTTAAAATAAATAAGTAAATTGACAAAATATTTGAAAAAAATATATGGTGGAAAGTAGTTTTACAGGAATTGTCAGTCAGTCTGAACATTCTAATGGCATGCACCATTTTGTGCATTGGTTGATACAATGAAAAAGTTACTATACTGGGAAATTGTATTAAAGCGAGTATTCTGTCTTACTCGCCTCTTAATGAGGTGCCCAAGTTTGAATCCCAGCTATGGCTTGTCAGTGAACAATGGTTGAACGAATTCCGCACCCAGCTTGCACCGACAGCAGTGCTGACATAAAATATCCTCAGTGGTGGATGGATCATGGGTTAAAGTCCCCTTGCCGTCAAGCTAGCCGCGGGAGGTTTTCGTTGTTTTCCCTTCCATGTAAAGCAAATGGGGTTAGTTCCATCAAAAAGTCCTAAACAAACAAAAATTTCTCCCAATACTTGATCCAGGAGTTCCCTTGTACTTGACCCTGGATTGGGTTCAAAATTGCAAGACTACAGATTTGAACATTGGTAGACATAAACTCAAAATTGAGTCTGCTATTCAATAACATCGAAAAATATATAAAAATAAAATAAAATAGAGTTATTCCAGTAGAAAATCAAAATTTTTTAATTTAGGATAAAGGCAAATAAAAATTAATAAAATTCATGGACTGAAAGTGAATAAACTAGTAACCAATTTGATTATTATTTTAAAAAATATTCAGGAATGGGAATAAAAGAGCAAAAGCTTGGTTTCTTTTCCCTTGAAATATAGCAATTATTGTTAACACAACGACGTTAATTATTTTTTAAAAACAACAAATTGTAAATTTATATTTTATGTTGTTATTTTGAAACTCTTGCATATCAATATGATTTAACAAGAAGTCGAAAAGGTATGTCAATATTAAAATGCAACATACTTACTTTAAACACTGAATCAAAAGTGTTTGGAAATGTTTTCTTGGCCATTGATGTTAAATTAGTCAAGGGCAGCAAAGCTCTTTTCTGAAATACAAACAATATAAAAATAAGTCATGAATAGTTAAGAAATGCATAGCAGTTTAATAAATACATAAATTTATGTTATTATGGCTCACAAAATCCGAGGCAGGTTTATTAAAAAAATTTTGAACTTAAAATGTCGACAAAAAAAATCATAATTTCCCAACTCATTAATAGCAAAAAAATAGACCTCAATATAACGTATCACTTAAATAATTGTGTAAAAGGATGAAGCTGCGAATGTGTGAGAAATTGGAATCCAATGTAAAATAAATACTTGTATATATTGAGTTGAGCTCTAAATTGAAAATGCATATAAACTAGATAAGGAAATTAAAATTTATCTCGAAAAGATTCTATTATTCAAAATTTAAAGTGAATAGTAAATTTCTAATTTTGTATCATGCTTTGGCACACTCTTATATTTATAATGGCTTAACAGTGAGGGGGAGGATTATGTAATAAATAAATAAACTACGTAATATATACGACAAATTTGTTAAATTCTTACTAAATTAAGATAAATGAATTAAACAAAACCGCTACTAGTTACTCAACATATTACCAGTTCATAATTTTTTTTTCCCAAATTATGTCTAAACCTTTTTCTAAAACCCAAAAAATGCTTGTGATGAATAAATTCATCTAATTTTTTGAAAAAATTTAATTACTAATCTTGAAGCATATGAAATTTTCAGAATAAATTTATTAAATATGTAGCTAAAGAAAAGTAATCATAAATGAAAAATAATCAATTCTTTAATTCTAATGATGAGAATTAGAAACGAAGGAGACAGAAAAGAAGAGTAGGTTTAATTACTTGCTTTAATAATCAATCATGTTATATATTACAGCATCATTGAATCTAAAATGTGTGTAATAAATATAAATACAATGAAATCTATCTTACCTCTTTATTTTTAGAGATAGTATGAGTGTGTTTCATCTGTTTCTGTTCACACAAAGCTCTCAACAATGTCATAAATACAATGTTTTGCTCTCCCAAGCTTCTCACAATAATTTCCTGAGGGAAAAAATTGTATTAAAAATAGGAACTGAAATTGAATGCTCAAAGACCTAAAACAATTTTTAAGCAGTTTTTATTAAAAATGGAGATTTCTTAGTAAAACAGTTTGTAATGATTTGTTTTAACTTAAATGTAGAACCCTCAATTATAAATGCCAAGTTACCACTTAAAAATAAAAAGAGGAGATATTTGACGATCTTGTTCAAAGTCAGTGAGCTGTTGATCATCATCTTTTTAAAGGCATTCATCTTTTGAAAGGCATTC